GTCCAGGAGAGGGACAGAGACAACAGTCCAGGAGAGGGACAGAGACAGAGTCAATGGCTGTGAATCAAAAGACCCCATCCAGAAGTGAAGGGAAAGACTTTTGATCTTTGTAATCTTTAGGTGTCAAAACACCTAATCCACCAAGCAGTGCTGGATGAGAAGCAGTCTAACAGATCCGAGATCGTGGAGAGATTGAGAAAGGTTGTGGCGAGATAGAGCTAGGTGCTGTTGGTGTGGATGGGGAAACCAACACTGCCTTGGGATGATGTTGCTGATTGGAATGGGGTGGGGGAACACAACAGGAAATTGTGCAGGAGCCAAAAGAGACGCTACCGCTGCCAAGGCCAATTTCTGGTGGAACTGGAGCAATAAGGTTGGTGTTTAACAGTTGCCTGGCTCCAAGTCAGACCGCAGTGGAGAGGCATTGTATGAGGTCGGTGTCTCAGATGTATCCAACTGGAGAAGGAATAGTTTACCTTTATCACAATCACATGGGACATAATTTGTGATCTTGTCAAGATCATATCAGTCCTGTATATGGGGACATCTCATGTGTAGGCTACATGTTACAGCTGAACCTACCCAAAGGATTTTGACTAGAGAAGGAAATTGGAGTGCTTTTGCTGGCTTCTCTTCCCATACCTTCGTACGACTGTGGAGACAAAAATATCCAAGACCTAAATAACATACCAGCGTGTGGACCGGGAGAGGGAATGAAAGCAGACAAATGCACGGTAGGTTAAGTCACAACCAATGCAACTTCTAAATTCCATATAGATACACTCTATCCCCAGTGACAATAACAGATTTCAAAACTAAGCAGTTATCCCCGTCCTTGATAAACATTATTTCAACTTTGAACCATTCAAATTTAACTCTTGAACTGTTCAGAATAAAGTAAAGTAGTGAGGAATTGAAGGTAACACTTTCATAAAGTACCTTGGGATGATGCTGTGTTATGGTAAAGCTATTTTGTTAACGCAATTTATTACGAGCAGGCTAAATTGGAGCCTGCAAGAATCCAAAGCTTATTGCACAATGGCAACTACTTCTCAGCGGCTTGTTGTTGGCATAGACGGCGTATTTACCCATCAGGAAATTTAGATCAACAAGTGCATTTAAACATTCAATCTTGTGAAAAACTATTCAGCAATGCCAAACCTTCTGCCAAAGCAAACAAATACTGAAAAAGGTTTGTCATCAAAGGAAGTATTATTAAGCACAAGTAAGGGTTTGGTTTCAAGTACACTCTTGCTCTGCCTGCGATATTATCCTGAGGAAGAAACACTTGCAGCTTTCAAACTGGTGTCCCTTTTCCGTATCTAAATACATTAAACATTCCAGCTTTACTGATGTTTAAACATTTGTGGTTAAAAAACATTTGCATTGACATAGCGCTACTTCGAGATGCTTCACAGCTCTTCACAGTCAATAGTAGCAGTGCGCACGACCTACAACATGTACTGCAGTAACAAACCAAGGCTGCTCCAACCGCACTTTCTCCAAACTTACAACCTCTACCATCGAGAAGGACGAGGGCAGAAGAAGCGGGATTCTACCACCTGCAAGTTTCCCTCCAAATCCCTTCACTATCCATTCTTTGAATTATATTGCTGCTCTTTCACTGTTGCTGGGTGGAATTCCTGGAACTCCCAACAGCAGTGAGGGTGCCCTGCAGTACAGGTTGAAGGCTATGGTTCACCAATACTTTCTCAAAGGCAATGAGAGATGGGAAATAAATGCTGGCCCAGTCAGCGACACTCACATCCCACAAACAAATTTTAAAAGTGAACAATTTAAAGGGTCTGACTCCTGACTGCTGCCAACATATTCACATTTGAAAGGATTTACAGTAGACAGCATGATAAAACCAAAACAGGCTTTGTTCCATTATTTATCAGATCCTTGCATCAGTTTGATCACAAACAGGATTAAACTTTGCTTCCCTGTTGCTTCTGGAAAAGCGTTCACCGATCCATTAGTCTGGCTAATCTTCACACCACAGGACAAAGCAGTAGCATAGTATGCAACTTAGCACCGTTTCCTTGGTTCCCATCCAGGTGTAATGAACACAAAGCATTGATATAAATCAAAGTATCATTCCATTCAAGTGGGTCAGCTTGACATTTTGATCACATACAGGGACTGAAAGGAAGGACCAATCTAACAGCTTAAATTTTCCCATAACAGCAAGTACAGTTTATCAATGGTTTTTAATCTAATATAATTGAGACAAAATTGTTCAATGTTCAAATACATCTCCAAAAATATTCAATAAAGCCATCACATTCAGCATCAGACCAGCAACAACTAGAAGCTCAGTGTCTCTGTCGAAGCGTCAAAACATGCTCCTAAAGCAAGAGATAACGCAGCAGAAGCATCAGTACTTGGCATTAAAGAGATGGATTGTGAAAAGTACTACCCATTAATCCATTTCAAATCAAATGCACTTGTTTCAGTTTGCAGTCTCCAGGAGCACCCCTCCAGGGATGGTTGAAGATGACATTCCCCAATATGCCAGGATTCCCAGATCAATCTTAGAGATGGAAAGCCAGGGCACAGGCAGAGCCCTGTGCATTCATTCAGATGTTCAGGCAAAACAAAAACACTTGGTCCGAGTTCGGACATGGAACATTTAACCCAAGCAGCATTTCCAGTATCAGAATCCAAAAACAGAAGAAAACCAGAAGACAGAGGGGATATGCAACCCGCTATTTGTGTTAAATAATGCCAATGATGTTGACTGGATTTTGTTAACAAAGTAAAAATGGAAGAAAACATGGTATTCCCAACCATTCTGTGCACTTACCAAATGAACTGTATCTGTGTGACAACTCAAAAGATTTGAAGTGGTGTGTTTTGGTCAGAAAACAGACTGTATGACTCTAAAGGGACTGCAAGAACATATGAAATTGTGATAAGTAGTAGTAATGTTGCAGAAACTCAGTAGGGCTGGCAACAGAGACAGAAACAGTATTAGCGTTGAGGCCCATGTGTCCTGGCCCATCTACAGCACATGGACAGCCACAGTTCAAGGCAGCCATCTTTTCAAGGGCAACTAGGGACGGGCAATTACTGCTGGCCACGAATGAATTAAAAAGCAAAAGATGAACTCTATTTCTCTCTCCACAGATGTTGCCTCAACCTACTAAGATTTCCAGCATTTTTTTAAGCAGGTTTCCACTCTCCGTAATATTTTGCTTTTATTTACACTTGAAACGGTTTCCTGTCTCTAGAACAAAAGTTTAGGTGGAGCTCGAATAAAAGAACACAAAGTCAACAGGGCCTTTGGATGGGCTAAATGAGAGAAAGTTTCCAACAGCTGGAAGGTGAGGAACCAGAGCAGACAGATTTTAGGGAACTGGCAGGAGACATGTGAAAAGGCTTCTTTTCCAATAAAAAAAAGCACATGATTGCAATCAGGAATTCAATGGTGGTGAATGCAGATTCAACAGAGACTTGTTCAAATAAAATCAGATAAACACTGCAAGGACAAAGGTTCACAGGGACAAAGGGAATTGAAAGCTCATTATAGAGCTCGCACTGTCAGTTTGGGCTAGATATTCTCCATCGGTGTTGCACCATTAAAACACCATGAGGAGTTGAGGCACACTGGGCAGGCCAGTGCTGTTGATTTTGCTGACCCCAGGCAGAGTGAGATACAAATGTAACTGGGTCAGACCTGGGAGAGGGTACATCTTCCCTGGAACACTGGCTAGTTGTCAGGCATTCCAAATGGATTTGACATATTTAAAACAGACAACCATGAAGTAAACCATCCCAAAAAATTCCACTCAAATCTTACTAACTACCAGCAGAGTTTTGATTTATCAGTCAGATAGTTCCTTTAGGACATCAAATACGCACTGGAAACAGGCGTTTGAATGGTATAGCTACATGGAAAATTTCTTACTTTGCTTTCAAGGAGATACATCACAACTGAGAGTCTCCAGTGCGAGTAAATGTGCTGTTTGATTTCATAACAGATTAAAAGTGTATTTTGCTGGAGACAGAGGAACATCAAATTTATAGGGAATCGGGTCCTCAAGGCAGGTTACTTCGAGTGGCTTTCCCCATGGCACTATCCAGACAAAAAAGGAACTAAAAGAAAAAAAGGTAAAAACAGAAAACATTACCTACGCGCTGCGGTTGCATTAGATATGATCCAAGTGATAGCTAAGTATTTCAGGCAAATGCCCACTGTCAAAAAAACCCCATTGAAATATTAACTTATATTTTCAGATGCCACCAGATCTGCGTATTCTAACCTTATGCAACAAGTTCTCAGTATTGGCAGTCTTTATATCTTTAAGAGTGAGACGAACACAAAAAGAAAAGGCCCAAAAAGACTGAGGGAACAGTTTGAATCTTACTCTTTGCACAAAGCTATAGTCACCCTTCCAAAACACCCGACTGAACTTCAATTACAATGAGGTCACAATGGGACACCAGCTCACAAGCACTGTCCTAATACCTCTCCACTCAATGTCATATCACATCTTGTTTGTGGGGGGGGGGGGGGGGGGGGGGGGGGGTGTGTAGTCAGATGAGCTAAAAAGAGGGATACTCCATCAATGTAAACAGATTTCAGAAAAATATTAACTGACACTCAGTGGCTGAAGTTAGAAACTTGCAACTCTATTAAAAACCGCTCAACGCCACCTGACAATTTTGTGCACTTCTAGTCCAAACCCAAGCTCAGACTTCCTCTTTAATCAAAGGAGGGTTTTTTCTTTTTAAAAAAAAAAAAGGAACGAGAGAGAGTCAGGGGTCAAGATTCAGATTTCATTGACCACATAAATCAAAACACAAATGCAAATACAATCTACACCAAAAGCATGAGGGATTGACAGCCATCACACATGCTAACATTTATTAAAAATCAAACAGCTTCAAAATGAATAAATCAGTTCACATTCAGGAGGATATCTCGTATCGCTTCCAGCTTAATACAACATGTACAAGGTTTTGCAGTTGGCAGTTGAATTTAATGGATTTTTCACTCCATTCCCACAGCAGTGGGAAAGAAAGTCAATGAAATGGATGATAGTGAATGCTGTTGCATAGTTTGGGGGGCATTTATTATTTAAAGCTATGAATCACAGCCATGGGCAAAAAAATTAGAAACATTTATTATCTTCAATACACAAGTAAAGACAAAATCAACACTACAAAAAAAAAGAAAACAAGCACGGGGCACTGACTGCTCTAAAGTCAACTATTTAAAAGGCATATACATTGCAGCATGATTACAGTGTGTCAAATCAATGTAAACTTAAGTTCAAAATCTGCAGAATGTATCATAGAGGATACAAGACATTCAAATTAGAAAATTACCACAAACACAGTTAATTCTTTAACTAGACTTCAGGTCCCTGCTTCGGATAATACTCATGAGTGGAAATGAAACAGAAATTATAGTTATTTCAATTCAGTGTTAAGCATTCAGAATTGACAATAGTTCAACACCCAAAAGCACTCAACTACACCCAAATCCAACCCATTTGGCAGATAAATAGTAGAGACGCAAAAGCGTTAACTGAAAAATGAAGCGCACACAAATTGGGAAACCACCCAAAGAAATTCTATTCAGATAGCTGGGAATTGAGACTCAAAATGACCCTTGCAATAAAAGGTATTTGGGAGTTGCAGGTAAAAGGTGTATTATTGAAGGAGCTACAGTCTGGCATCTACCCGTATAACTTCATCTCTGGGTAAAAAGTCTTTTCCTTTCACCAGACATCTCGCTCCAATTAAATACAGACTATCCTTATATTTACATTTCATGTGTTCTTAAATCATTTGATTAGCTGTAGCTTAAGAGGAGAAACAGAAACAATCAACTGTTAACCTTTTCTCACTTAAAAAGAGCATGCAAGCAAGAGCAAACCCCCAGGAAAGGTTAGATGAGCAGACAGCTACAATTAAACTCGAGCACTCAAACATAGCAAATAGACCCCAAAAGATCCAATTACTGAAATCTCCGCCAACATTTCAGATCTCCTTTCAAATGAAATGAGGGAAGGAGTTCCAATGGAATCAGCAGCCATGTTAAAATTCCATTAAACCACACTTGAAGTTTCGACTGGAGTTTAACAATGATGCAAGACCTATTCAACCTAAATTTTCTTTCTAAAAGCACAACTTATTTTTTATAATGCACTCAAAATAACCAGCGCTCTGCAAATGTTCAATTATTTTGCTTCCATTGTATTCCATACACAGGTACGTAAGAAACAGGAGCAGAATAGGCCCTCCAGTCTGCTCTGCCATTCAAACAGAATGCAGCTGATCTTCTATCAATACCATTTACCCAGTGTGTCCACCCTGTGTCCTTCGATAGATATCTTTAATTTGGAGAAATCGATATCTTTAACATACAGCAAGACAGAACATCCAGAGCCCTCTGTGCTGCAGAATTCCAAAGATTCACTACCGTAAACATCTCAGACCTGATTGTTAGCCCCAAAGCATTGAGACCTCACTAAGTGGTTTAAGCAGCATGTTATACAAGTCCAAAAATTAATTGCTTTCCACTGAAGCCCCGATAACAAAAAAGGCTAGCAAAACTAACATGTGAGGATGACAAATCAATTTAACAACCTATCTCAAGGCTGTCAAATGGAGTCCGCACCTCGTCTATATCCTAACGTTATCAGCAACATGGCAAACAGGAGGCTTCAGAGCAAAATTGCAATATCCTCCACCATTCACCAATAAACATTATTCAGATCACACCCATCCAAAATTCCCACTGCAACTTTAATGTCAAGAACAACTCCCCATAGAGAGACATTTCCAATACCAGGTTAACTTTTCACCTTGTATCAGAGTACAAGTTTAAGACCAAATGTTCAAAATTGCAACAGAGACACACAGATGCAGTGGCACAATTCACTTCCTCCTCCATTTCATGCCTCAGATGCCACAATTGCCCTCGCTGTTCAGAATGTCTCAAGTTGGGCACCACCTTAAGCACAATTTAGCAGACTTCACTGGAAGAGAAGTTGCCATTTAGCTGATCGTATCCTTGCTGACTTTGGCCATCAAGCCATTGAGCCTGCTCTCTTTCCAACTCTGAATAAGCTTGCAAACATTTTACATGTTGAGCATTTCTGCCTGTCACCCTCCAGGTGAACATATATTCCTTGAATTCCCCTCCAACGTCCTTCCTCTTTTCCCAATCTTATGCCCCTTGGTAACGGAGCCCTCCACTGTCAGGCAAAGGACATTCCTGCCGCTGTACCTAGATCCCATTTTACTGCTGTTGAACTAGATCTGCCCCAAAGCGTCTGTTTTAAAGGAAATCAACACCAGTCCATTCAATCTTCTCAGAAGCAAAATTATCCAGGCCCCAGGGAAACCCATTATCTGCTCATTGGTACTAAGCATTGATACAACCAGAGCTTAAAATAATTTGAGTCAAGACATTGCTGAACATGAATTGCATCTGGAAAAACACAAAAAATGTAAAGTTGCTGACTAACAAAACATCAGGAGCAGCACTAATCCTCAGAGCTGGCTTACTTATATTGCAGCACTACATCTAAACATGATACATAAAATATCAACTGGAACGATTCCCTTTGTATGGGATACAGGTAATGAAGGAATACATCAGGTGCATTTTGTGCAGAGG